TACGTAGCTGCTACTATTCGTTAGTGCAATTACATCGCGGGGGTGAGCTCCAGAATGAATAGCCGCGCAGGAGCGAGCTCGTTTTTCAGAGTTGGGCTTGTCTCTCTCTCTCTCTCTCTCTCTCTGTTTGCGAAGTCGTTCCTTAAGGGGGCAAAAAGGGCTACGAGGAAATTTCGAGCTCGTTATAAGCGCGAAAAAAGGATCGCCGCCGCGATGTAGCAGTAGGCCAATGGAAAAAAGCTCGCCGCGAGGAAGCGAACAATGGGCCCCGCAGAGCAGCACGCTGCTGCTCAGGTGGCGGCAAACAATGGCTCTACTAGCCGGGAAAGGCCTGTTCGCTACTCTACATACGTCCCCATTAAAGCAGTAAGCTACACGCATTATAATTCGTCGCATCGCCGCAGCAGCCCAGCGCAGCTCCGCTCGTGCACCTCTTGCACACGTGTACATGCGCAATATCTAGCACGTGGCTCGTCTGTGTGTGTGTGTGTGTGTGTGTCGGTAAATACAATATCGCCGTCGCGCTGCAGCTGAATAAGGCTCTGCTCTGCTATGCACTGAGGAGCCTATATGCTTCGGTACACGAACCAAGAGCGCGAGAGAGTGCAAACCCGGAGATAGTAAATATGCGATAGTATATAAAACCGAGGGAGCCACCTCTCCCTTCCACGGCCGGCCTCGGTCTGCGCCGCGCTGCCGGCTCTGGCCGACGACGCCGCGTTTGTGTTTACACGCGTGCAGTAATTGATACGGCAGCGTGCAGCGCACGAGAGAGGAGCAGCGATCCTCCCGCTCGCTGGCTGCTGCCGTTTTTCAGAGTTTTTCGCTCGCCGCGAACAATGCGCGGCAGCCGGCGTTAAATATAAGCCGCCGCCGTCGAGTTGAAATCGATGGTCGTCTTAGATACAGATCGAATTATTAGATGTACCGCTGGCGTGGCAGCTACTGGCGAAATGGCAATTACGGCGCGCGCAACGCCGCCACCAAGGAGACGTTTTCTTCTTTGGAGATCGCTGCCAAAGATAAGCGCGCTCCGTCACGCCATTCGAGCTCGGAAGCATTCGAGAAGCGAGCACGCTGCCGACGAAATTATTTAAAATAACAAGCTTGAAATTCAAACTGCGCCCACGAGCAAGAAAGAGAGGACGTTCTCGGGAAGCGAGCGAGAGTGCGGCCATTAGAGGAACATGCCAATATATGCAAATTCAAAAGTATATACGTAGCCTCTCTCGAGTGCGACTTTTCTTCGCGGCGATCGGCAGAGAGACTCGCGTGTGCGGCAAACTCTCTTATACATAATACATAGCGGAGACAAACCTATATTTACCTAATTTATATGAACGAGAGGGAGACAATCGTAGCGGCAGACGCAGCTCCTCAGCTAGGCTGTTGTTGCGAGTTCGGTTCCGCTTCTCGGAATAATAGCCGAGAGAGCTGGAGAGAGAAGTGCTGCTGCTACGCTCTCTCGCGATAAATTACGCGCGAGGAATCCCGAGGGTAGGGTGGAGAGGCGGTTATGCTGGCGGCCGGTAACGAACAGCGCAGCGCTCGCGCGCCAATGACACGACAACGCAAGAGCTTTTGTTCGCTCTCCTCGGCTGCCGCCGAGTCTACGTGTAGCCGCAACGGCGACAGCTCGCTCTGCTCCGGGACGACTTCCTCGACGCATGCCCTCGAGCAAACTCGCGAGTCGCGCGCCTATGCGCGATACGCCCGTGCAGCTCGCTATGCGGCCTTGGATCGCGCGCTGCCCGCCATTCGGGATGTTTGCTCAAGGCTCCTCGCAACAGCAGCGCCCGCGCTCTCTCCTCGTCGATTCGCGCCATTCCAAAGCCTGTTTACCCCGAACTGCAGCTACCAAATTACACCTTGGCAATCTCTCCCATTTGCATTTCTTATGGCCTTTGAAGCTGAACGACCAGTCGGTGAATTGGCACTGGCGGTGAGCTTTCGCAGTACGATCCCGTCGAACAAGTCGAGTTTAATGACCGTTCGGCTCATCGGATTTGCACAATAAGCTCCGGCGAGAGCTACATTTTCCGAGATGGTTTTGCCGGTCGTACTGGAATTAATCAAGCAGCTCGATACGAGAAGATTTTATTCAACCTAGGCCTCCGTCTGGGAGTACAGGAGTAGGCTGCGAGGTAGTGCGAACGCGGAATGTTTTTCCCGACGGTAGGCGGCAGGCCACCCCGAGTCCTCGGCGATCAGTGTTCGGCGGACAAACACAGGTGTCAGCTTGGCTTTATACCTGGCGAGAACCAGCGCTGCAGGCTGTGCACGCGCGGAGTCTATCGATCGGCCCCTAAACAAACGCCACGCGCGTTTCAGTTGCTTGCTCTGCGCAACGCACACGCTCTCTCTCTCGGCTTTATATAGTGCCTATCGCGCTTGCGTAAATCAGAATTATTTGACATGCCCAGCCGTCTGTGCGCGAGCATAACTGCTGCAGGCCTTTCCACGAATAGGTGCTACGTGCCAACTCTCCGCTGCGCGCGCCGAGCTTCCACGTTACGGCGTGTTAATCGACATGCCGTTCACTCACGATGGATGGATTGTCTGTGGCTTTTATTTCTGATTTTACCTTGTCTTCGGGCTGGCCGTGTGTTTGAGCCGATTCGACTTATCACGGCACATTGAACGAGTAGAAAGAGCGGGAGCTTTCGGGGGGGGGGGGGGGGGAAGAAACAAGTCAAAGTTGTTTGGTTAAAGTATCTGGAAAGATCGACGACGATCGTACGAGTGGAGGATCGAGCCTGCGCGGAGAAAGATAGTCGAATTTCAGGGCAAATAGGCGACCGCGTGGAGCTTGCAGCAGTGTAAACCGCGGCCGATCCATAGTCCAGCGATTCGGTCCGGCGATTCGGTGCACGTCGAATGGACCTTTAAAGAAGCGTCGAGGAGAAGAGCAAACACTGGCATGCGCAGAGAACGACAGCAGCAGCAGCAGCAGCAGCAGCAGCACTGTTCGCCCCTTGACATTTGCTTTTGCAGCGCAAGCAGCTTTGTCTCTCGGCCACTTGCTGCTGGGCCTCGTTTCTCTTGGGTGCGCCCACTCGCCTGACTGCAGACAACGAGTTTCCACATTTTCAAGTGTGCAGTGGCCAAGTTTTGCGCGCTTAACGAGCGGAGAGGTTCATTAATGGCCGCCGATCAGGAGCGAAGCCACGCCGGCTAGCTGGTTTTCTCGGAGAAATACCCTGTGTAGGACAAGCTCTCAAAGCGAAAGCTCCCGTTCTCCCGTTTTACGAGCAACAAAAAAAAATAGCCTCTCCTTAGAGCTTTATCCCGTGAAAGACAAGCTATCTAAAACGAGTGCGGAGAACAGGCTATTCAGCGCGCCAAAGCCGATTCGCCAAAGGCCCGAGCGGCGAAACAAAGTAACCGCGCCGCCGCGCACGCCGCGCGCAATATCTCGACAAACACGCGACTCGCAGCTGCGGTGCGCGGCTGCACAACTTTGTGCGCGAGTATACGGGGGATAAGATAGCGCGCCGCGCGGAATTACGCTGCGAACCGATATAGCTGCTGCCGTCGCCGTTGCGCTGCTAGCGTAATATAATTGTAAACAAGCGCGTTCGTGCTATCGTAATTAATGGCGATTGCGAGCTCTCTCTCTCTCTCTCTCTCTCCCTCTTTCTCTTTCGCTGCATCGCCCGCGCCGTCGCCGCGTCGCGTATGGCGCCGCAAATTATGCAACAAACGATACGTACACGAGGCAGCAAGGCGGCGGCAGCGCAAAATTCCCCGCGCGACTGATTAATCTCTTCGGCAATTTGTTGCTTCGCGGCTTTTTGCGCTGCGATAGTTCGCAGGCTCGCCGTAGCTCTTTTATTTTTTGCACGTCCCGTGTCGCGTCCTCGTTTCGTAATTTTCAACGTCGCTTATTTTTCACCCGCTGATTTTGCCTGTCGCGCGCTAATATTGACCCGACAGCTATCTCTCTCCCTTTTTATCACCGCGCGCAACTACTAGCTCGCACGCCTGCGTTTCTACGGACTTTATCGCGTACTTTAGTCGAATTACGTCGTCAGAGAAAATTTGTTATTCGCTCCTCGTGAAAAATAAAGCAAGTTTAGCAAGGCTAGGCGCGCCGCGTAAGCTCGCTGAACAACGTGGTTGCGCGCATCCAATGCCCATCGTCGAAGCGAAAGAGTCATTCAACTGCTAAGTGAATCGTCGAAGGTCAAGCGGCACGACTGCCGAGGAGCTGAAAAAGGACGAGCCGACATGGCCGAGCGAGCGCGAAGACGCGTACGCGCAGTCGTACACCAGCGAGCGGGATAATGCGAGGAGGCACGCGCGCAAAGTGGCTCGAGACGTAAAAATGCGATCAACGCCGAGTGCGCGCTGGCGCTCGGGGGTCGAGAGCGATCGAGACGTCAGCGCGCGCTCGCGCAACCGAGGGATTACATTTAATTAGGCGTCAAGTCGTTAACCGATCGAGCCGTCGGCAATATCTCGCGCCGATCCGTGACGCGCGGCCATCGTCGCGGCATCCTCGGTGCGGGCCCTCTCGCTTTTCCTTTTCGTCGGCCGCCGACTCTTTCGCGAGCAACACTGCTTGCACGCGCGCGCGATTCTCGGATATAGTCATCAGGCGCGGCTCAACTTTGAGCGGAGTTTTTCGCAAACCACTTTCAAGTTCGCGCGACTCGCTATTGTTGCGTGGCAGTCGACGAGAGCCGAAGCGAATCGATAAATACAGAAAGAACAATTAGATCGTGGGCGGCAGGTAGATTTATTCGACGAGAGCAGGCTAAACGAGCTCGCTCGGGCGTAAACTAGTCGCCACCTTCGTCCGGCTTTCGTTCTCTCTCTCGCTTGGCGTTTGTTTGCCTTTGGTTATCTCAAGCCCGTAGCTCGTTGCGCGCAGCTCGGGGGACCCGTGTGGAAAAAGGACGCCGACGCTTATCGGGCGCCCGGCAAATATTTTCAGGCGGCCCGCCGACGTGAAAACAAGCCAGAGTCACGGCAAATAGGTGGGACGATGCGCGTACCTGCTACGGTGAGAGTGGCGTTGCGGCTGGTCGCGCTGCCCGCCGAGTTCTTGGCGACGCACCAGTACACGCCCCCGTCCTGCTCCTTCTTGCCGTGGGTGACCCTCAGGAAGAAGAGCGAGCCCGTCGGCAGCAGCACTCGGTGCGAGTCCAGCGGCGACGTCTGCACGAGCTCGCCGTCCTTGTACCACTCGATCTCGGGCTTGGGCTTGCCCTCGGCCTTGCAGTTCAGCGTGACCGGCTCGTGCTTCGCCACCGTTATGTCGCTCGGGTGCTCCGTGATGCGTGGTGATCGGAATTGTCCTGCGAACACAATCGTAAACACAATGATCGAGTCGCCGAGATAGGAGTGCGCTCGGAAGCAGAGGCCTGCTGCTGCAATGCAGACCGGCTGAATTGCGGAGTCGTAAAGAAGGCCAGCAAAACAAGTGGCAGGCGGCGGAGGCGCAGTCGATAAGATTCGCATGCGAGCGAGAACTCCGCCGGCCTCGCCTCGTCCCTCCCAATCAAAACTTGGCAGACACGCGGCGAATGAAACATTCATTGCTTCCCGCGCGCACGAGCACACACGCGCCTTGCCCCGCTCGGCCTCGCCAATTACCAAACATTTATTGCCCCGCACGAAACTCGGCTTAATGCACGTCACGATTGCAAATCCTCGGCGGCGCCGGCGCGGCCTAGACGGGGACAGCGAGCGCGCGCTCGTAATGAGATTCCTTAATGACGCCCAGAAGATGCACGAGCGATGTAACGCTCGCTCTTTTCGAGGCGCGATGACCGGCGCTGCGCTGTCATTTGCATTCCGGGCCTCTGTCCGCGAAAAAGCAAAATGCCAAAAGACGAGTTTCAATTAATTGCAGCGCGCGAGCGACAATCCACGAGCAGCTAATGCAGACATTAATCAACGGCTGTCAAGTTAATCGCGATCGATCGCACGCGATAAAGCGCACGCACGCTCGAGTTGATGCGCAGGCATGCGACTGTCCAGAAGGATCGCGGGCGCATTGCCTGGTGCGCTTGCACCGGCTATTTACCATTCGCGCGCGCCACCATGTTTCCTCTCGAGCAATTCTCATCGCGGCGCGCCGCCGATAGAGCGGCTAAAGAGTCGCGCTTTTTCTGGCTCAATGGGACGCCACCTCGCGAGCTCGAACTTGCTTTGAAACGCGCGACCTTCCCAACTGGACGCCTGATTTATGCTCTATATGTTTTATTTGCGCGTGGCCGCGCTTTTTTATTCGACCTGGAGGATTTACGTGGGTGCACCGACACCGATAATAGTCATGTTGAAGCAACGAGAAAGAGAAAGAGAGTCAAGAAATGAGATGTAAATGCAGACGAGTAAATCTTCGGGTACCTTAATGGGCAGCCTTCGGCCAAGACAATAACACTGTTATTTTTGCCAGACAAACTCGCCCTACACCATCGACTCATGACGAGTTAGAGTTTAGCATTACTGCGTTTCGTTTTCTTTTCGCAGATGCTAATCATTCAATATTTCATTTCCTGCAAGAGAGGAATTTGAAATTCCCCCTTCCGGCCATTGCTAGACGAAAGAAAAAAAAGTTGTCGCGCGCACGACGACAAGCCAGAATATGACTCGCGCGAACGCAAGGCTATGTTTTATGCATATGCAGTACTGAATAAAATGCGATTACACAGTTCCTTTGAATCGACGTGTCGCCTCGTTCTCGTTCTCGCTCTCTCTCTCTCTCTCTCTCTCTCTCTCTCTCTCTCTCTCTCTCTCTCTCTCTCTCTCTCTCTCTCTCTTTAACGCGAGCTTTTAAGTGAGGTGAAAAAGAAAGAGCGCGTCTAGGATTTTCGCACGCGCTTCGCGCGTATGCGCGTGTGTCGATGCTGGGCGTGCGCTGTTTTTTCTTCCTTGGCGCAGCAGAGCAGCGGAGCAGCAGACGAAAAAGGAAGGCCGCGACGCGAATGTACGTTGCGTTGAACCAACTTTTTAGCCGCGCCATAAGCACGAGAGAAAGAGAAGATCGCTCGGCGTGGGCGTAGCTTGATTTTTAATTGTAGCTCGCGAGTGTAAAAGCTTTCTCTCTGTCGCTTTTTACACTCAGCCTTGCGGGCGTTTGCTTTACGCACCGGTACTCGTTCGGAGCGCACGCAGATGTAACGTTAATTCGGCGACAAGTTAATAACTCGGGGCGGCGGCGACGAACGAGTACGTAACACGGGCGCAGTAACGTACACGCAACGTTGCCGCGCGGTCCGCGAGCGCGGCATTGCGACGAGCCGTGGAGGAGATAAAAAGAACGGGAAAAGCACACGTGCACGACGTATCGCCTAACCGTCTAACGTTCGGCGAGCACGTGAGATGCGTCATTAAGAGCCGAGCCCGAGCTACTTGTCCGGGCAGAGCATGAGCGAGCGATAAAGACATTAACCGAAAACGAACAGCGAGCAGATAGGGCCGCTGCGTGCGAAACGCAGGATCACGGGGCAGGGGCCGCTGATGAGAAAATAATTAACGCCGGCTACTACGCTTTCGGAGGGGCGCCACAGACTTCGGCCAGACTTCGGACAGACTTCCGCCATTTGTATCAATTCTCGACGCGCCACGTGCGTGATCGCCGGAAATTCCATTTTCCGACTGCGCCGCGGCGATCGATCCACGCAACGATAGTCCGGGCCTCGGACGAGTTTGCACGCGCTTGGACTGTTCCAACTGTGGACAAGTAATCGACAGCGGCGTCACGGCAGACGAGCAAGCGACCTGCCAAGGCCGAGTCGGCAGTCGGCGGCGCTGCGACGAAGGATCGAACGGACCCTCTAGCTCCGTCGGAGCTCCGTCGGAGCTCAACGCCACCTCGCCGCCACCTACGACCACGCGGGAAAGAGGCGCGCGACTGAAAAATCCAACGCGCACACGGGGCGCTACTGGTGCTGCCCCCCATTCGCCTTGCCCCGTAGATTCGAGAAAGTCGATCCGCGCACCGGCGACACACGGCCGGCCAGTTTTAATTTTGCAATCGGCTGCAGCAGCGAGGAAAAAGCGCGGCGAGCGTTCGGCAAATGCTATCGATGCGCGCCGGCGCCGCAACTAGTTTGCGAAGTGTGCGTGAGCGAGCGCGAGGGAACGAGAGCGAGGTGGAGGGCGGCGAAGCTATGCCAACTATCTTGCCATCGCTGCTGCGATTATTGAAATATTCGCGGAATCCGTGCGTATAGTTGTTCCGATACCGCGGCTGCGTTCCTAAATGTCGGCGTGGCCCATATCTCCTCCCATCTGGCTTTGACGGGGAAAGCGCCTTCTGACATCCGCGAGCACGTTCAAAAACACCAAGAATGCGGATCAGCCCGAGCCCTGCTCCGCTGCTGCGCCACTTTCTTCGCAGAACTTGTTTTTTATTAAAATCAGCAGGCTCGTCATCCCCAAATTAGGTTTTGGCCGGATTAAGTCATCGAGGCGAGACCACTCGGCCGTCAATAACGAAGAAGGCGCGCGCGTAAACTTGATCGTCGGCGAGCGGGAAACGCGGAAATGGTGACGGAGCTTCTCTCCTGAAACAACCCGTAGGAGAGTTTTTTTATACCTGGAGTGCGGAAAGAGGGGAACGAGAGACGAGGAAACATCGCGCGATCTCTCGGCTGGCGGCGAATAATCAACTTTTTACGAGGGTACTTTGCGAAAAAATTTGCGAGCTCGAAAATTCGCATCGAATCGTCAAAAGCCAAGCCGGAAGGTTTTCCCTCGTCTCGTCCTTTAGTAAGATGGACAGGCTTTCTCTATGCAGCACGCGCCACACCACGCGCGGCTTTTATTTTCAGCCAGTCGGCCTCTTTTATACCTCCGCCCGGCCAGACGTCTCGGCGCATTTAAAGCGCACTTTATTTTCCAAGGGAAATATGGAAACTGATGCCCGTGCGCTTTTCTCGCGCGCCAAGCGTCCCTTGACAATGAAACTTACGCGACTTTCACGAGCAATCGTTCACTTTTTTTTGTCCTCCCAAACAAGCGCTGTTTTGCGCGCTTCGCGCTGGCTTACGCCGGCCAAAATGACTTTTCTATGTACGATCGGGGGCACGGGCTACGCGCCAATTATTTCAAGGACAATAAAGCGGACAATGATAATCGCAATAAACAAGTTGAAAAAGTTTAAAGTCGTTACGTCAATTTGGACTCGTTCTTGGCTGGTTTAGGAGCCGCGCTCGCCACGCCAACTCTCCTAACTCTCGCGTCTGGACCCTAAACTTTAACGAGCCGACCGTAAAGTTTTTAGTAATGACTTGAAACTGACATTATACCGTGTTTTCCAATTTGTTAAACTTTCTAGGACTTCTCCTACATCAAGAGCCTTACCACCGTTGACTTTAATCTTTGCAAAAATCAGCGCCGTTTCGTCCGTCGCTTTTTCCTACGCTCGACGCCGCGGCGCTAGCTTTTCTATTTTCGAATACGAAAGCTGCTAAGCAGGAGAGAGCTGCGGAAAATTCAAAGCGACGCCTCAAATATATATCCTTTGACGATGGTCAGCCGCACACAAGATAGCCACAGCGCATTTCCATAACACAGCAGATTGCATAGCAATACGTCATTTCCATTAACGAAGCGCTCTTTCACCTCCGCATCTCCATAATACAGCGTGAAACGCGCATGTTACTTCCGCTGATGAAGTGCTATCCCAAGAGCGGGCTCTTCCCCCGTCAGCGTGAAACTCGATATAAACAAGTTTTGTAAGCGGACACGCCAAACGTCCGCCAAGTCCGTCGCGGAAAAGGCGGAAAAGGCGGAAAAGGCGAAAAACGAGAAGCACGCGCGTGCCGTTTCTGCGCGAAGCGTGTAACGAGCAAATGATTACGAGGCTCGCGAAAGTTTCCGGGCGCTCAGCGGACCAGCGTAGATCGCAGCGCGTAGCCGTGCCGGCCGCGGAGAAAAAGAAGGCGCCAAATGGAAATCGCGCGGAGCACTCGATGCTCGTCGGCGCCAGACTGATCGGGCGTAAATCAGAGGCGGCGGCGGCTGCGCGCGCCCGCGCGGTTCGCGACGGCTTTAAATCAAAGTGGCGCGAGCGCCAAGTTTCTTGGCCGTCTATGCGTAACGTATTGCCGGGACCAATTATCCTTGGCCCGCGCGAGCGACGATTTATTTGCCAAAGCTACATAAACTGTCTCGGCGTGTCGATATATATTACAGGCACCGGTCGCCGAGCCGCTCCCGCCGAGAATTTCGCCGGCGAGCGGCCGGCGGGAGCAAAAAGAGAGCCTCGATTTTTCCGAATATCCGCGCGCGCGCACCGTTCAAAATGATTAATGCGCGCGAACTAGCTGGCGAAACATTGGACGTT